GAGACGGTGTACGGAGACCGGGGCCAGCTGATCAAATCGAAGGAGCGCAAAGTCTTCCTGCTCAACGACATGCTGGTGTGCGCCAACATCAACTTCAAGTACGTTGGCGGCGTCCGTTTCCTTTGGGAGCCCCACTGAACGGCTGCCGTACGTGTCCCCGCAGCCCGGGGGCATCTGCAGGGCTACAGCGCTAGGGCTCCAGGCAGTTGTACGGAGACCGGGGCCAGCTGATCAAATCGAAGGAGCGCAAAGTCTTCCTGCTCAACGACATGCTGGTGTGCGCCAACATCAACTTCAAGTACGTTGGCGGCGTCCGTTTCCTTTGGGAGCCCCACTGAACGGCTGCCGTACGTGTCCCCGCAGCCCGGGGGCATCTGCAGGGCTACAGCGCTAGGGCTCCAGGCAGTGAAATCCAGCTAACAAACGTAGGCTGACCTTTCTGAAGCACCACTCCAGTCCCGCCTCCGCCAGTTCTGCTGGGATTTGGCATTTTTCTTGGCAGTCGTTCTAGCAACCTTGGGTCACATGGATCCCTGGTGCAATCTCAGTGGCTTTCGTTGAGTTACACAGGTGATCAAAGATGGCCCCTTTTGACTTGAAAATACGCCTTGGATTGCACTTTCCCAGCACTGGCAAGTTACCCGAGAGCTGTTGCAGAAGAGCTCTGTTATCTGCCTGTCTGGCTCTCCATTAGCTGCAGCAATCTATGCTAACCTACTACCCTGCAGCTGGTCTGAGTACTCTCTCTTGCCTGCATCCCAGCGCATCCTGTCCCTGCAGAGCACTGCCCTGGGCTCCCGTCGGTCATAACTAGCATCCTAATCTCGTTTTACCCATCGTTGCGGCTATGTCTAGACTACAGGCTTTTGTTGACAGAGGCTTTGTCGAAAGATACTGTCGACAAAGCTTCTGTCGACAAAGACCATCTAGACTACATCCAATTCTGTCGACAAAGCAAGCTCCTTTGTCGACATAAGAGTGGAGACGCAAAGGACAGTGTAGATGCAATAACGCCGTCTGTCGACAGAACTCAGAGCTCAGCTCATCGTCAGCACAACGCGGCAGTCAAGATGCAGCTTGGTCAACGAGGAAAGCCTTTGCCGTCCGATCCCTTATGCCTCGTGAAACGAGGTTTACAGGATCGGTTGGCAAAGGCTTTCCTCGCCGACTGATCCCGGTCTTGACTGCCGCGTTGTGCCGGCGATCAGCTGAGCCGGCACAGCGCAGCGGCCATTTTTATTTTAATGAAGCGGGGGATATTTAAATCCCCGCTTCATTGACTATGTCGGGTAGCCTATTTTACATGCCTCTGCCGGCAGAGGCATGTAGTCTAGACATACCCTCAGAGTCCAGAAGAGAGCAACCGAAAGGGCTAGAACACATTATGTGAGGAAATGTCCGAAGGACGGGACGTGTCTCGTTTTGAGAAAGACGGCTGAAGGGCAAACAGGACAGCGACCCCGTATGAACCACGAGGAGTCCGGTGGTGCTGTTAAGACGGATGTTTATTTGGGCGCAAGATTTTGTGGGTCAAAAACACTTTGTCAGTTGACCCATAAAAGCTTCTGCCCAAATAAATCTACAACGAACATGGCGACCGCTCTGAAACCTTATATCGGGGCTGGGAACCGGATGCGGCTCCTGGCTCTGGATTGGGCCCCCAAGGCTGAATCCAGCCACCACCGCCAATAGGCTCCCCGTTGCTGGAGCAAACAAAATCTCCTAGCCTGGGTCCTCCGAGGCTCTGGTGTGTGAGAGGAATGTGAGGAGTGTCTGTCTCCTTCTAGTCAGGGGCCATCTCAGAAGGGAGGGGGTTGTTAGCTTTTTGAGGGGGGCAGTTGTTTGCTTCTCACTTGTGCGCGGCCTCTGACTGATTTTTTTCTGTCGGTCAGCGTCCCCCGTCCCAAAACAGGTTCCACGCCCTGCCTTATATTGTTGTCAAGAGGACAGCGATCAGTTGTTCCCCGTGTCCGCCAGGGCAGCACAGGAAGTTATCGGCTTTTTTTTTTCTTTTGCATTCTGGGAGATTCAGGTTAGACCTTGGGAAAGGACTTTCCTGTTCTCAGGACAGTTAAGCACTGGAGCAGGTTAGCTAGGGAGGCGATGGAATCCCCATCGCTGGAGGTTTTCTGGAATGGGTTGGACACACCTGTCAGGGATGGTTTTACTCCGTCTTGCTTCAGCCTCCGGGGAAGGACTCCTAGCTCTACACGTCCATCGTTCTGTAAGTAGCCTGGTTTCCAAAGTGCTGAGGGCCGACTGAAGACCCTGATTGTGCATTTTGGCAGCCGACCAGGGATTCATCTAAGGATACAGATGGTGTCAGCGCCAGCATTTGAACTCAGAACTCCCTGCTTTCCAGAACTACTAGCATGAGAACAAAGGGTAGAAAAAAGTAGCTGCAGTATCCAGGGAGGGAGCAGCAGCTGAGGACTTGCATGCCATTATGATAATGACCTTTGTTAATCTTCTCTCTTTCCAGGCCTGTGAGTACCAGGTAGGCTTAGCACATGGTGTGGTGGTTTTGCCCCGTGCGGTGGGGGTGCAGTTTTATGGTGGAAGGAATTAACATGCTGGTGCAGGGCGTGGAATGCAAGTTTTGAAGCAGCGGGGCGGGAGCTGGGCTTGCAAACTTTCCTGCCTTTTTCTGGTTTGGAGGTGTCCTCCTAGCATGACCTGACTGTTCCCTCCTGGTGCTGCAGAGTTCTGGCGTGGCGCGGGGTGGTGAAGGTGCTGCGGTCATGTTTTATGAGGGAATAACAGAGTTTCTCCCTCTGTCTGCAGAGGCCAGCTGGAAATCAGCAGCCTCGTGCCTTTGGGCCCCAAGTACGTGGTGAAATGGAACACTGCCCTCCCCCAGGTGCAGGTGGTGGAAGTTGGGCAGGAGAACAGCGCGTACGACAAAGACAACGTGGTGATCCAGAACGTGGGAGCCAAAAAACACGCGCCAGCCAGCCAGTCGTCCCACAGTGAGTAACCGCTCGGGGCGCGGGGGTAACGCGCCAGCTGTGTGTGCTGTGTCTTTCTCTAGCGGCTGTTCCCACAATATAAGAACGAGGGATCACCAAATAAAATTAACAGGCAGCAGGTTTAAAACAAACAAAAGGAGGTTGTTCTTTACTCAGCGCACAGTCAACCTGTGGAACTCCTTGCCAGAGGATGCGGTGAAGGCTAGGACTTTAACAGGGTTCAGAAAAGAGCTAGCTAGATTCATGGAGGCTAGGTCCATCAATGGCTATTAGCCAGGATGGGTAGGAATGTTTGGAAGTGGGTGGCAGGAGAGGGATCATATGAGGATTGCCTGTTGTGTTCCCTCCCTCTGGGGCAGTTGGCATCGGCACACAGGATACTGGGCAAGATGGACCTTTGGTCTGGACCAGTGTGGCCGCTCTTATGTTCTTATTGTCCATGGCTTGGAGTCTTTATAGTGAGACAGAGAGGAAGATGTGTCCTAGGTCAGCCATAACCTGAGTCTGATGTGGGGATTACTGGGGAGACTCAGGGTGAGGCTGTAGCCACATGTACGGGGCTGCTGCTTGCTCTTCTTCCCCTCCCCCTTGCAATCGGGGAGCGAAAGGATAGCACAGGGGGTGGGTCGCCTCCTTGGTCCCTCCCCTCCCCAGGCAGGAGCAAGAGGCATGCAGTCAGGTTGGATACTTTCCCCTCCCTGATAGTGAGGGGAAGAGGAAGCAGCGTCCTGGTATGTGCAGCTGTGCCCCCTTCCTCCTCTCCTGCGCGCTCCCAAAATGGTGTCCTTGGACTCAGGCCAGGACTGTGCCCGAGTCAGGCAACCTCTTAGCAGCTGCGCAGTGCATCTCCGGCGGCCAAGACTCGTGGCTCAGTTTGGTCCACTGGTTGGCTCATTCGTTTCCCCGGCGTGGGAGCATGGTGCGAAGGCTGAGCCGTACCCCCCGCTTCCCAGGGGTAAGGCTGATGGGCCTGGGCCCTCTTGGCCTAGGGTGTCTGACAGGCAGCCCCACGCATCGGACTATGCTGCCCTAGGAGCTCGGCTGCTAGGCAGTCCAGAGGGGTGTTGGCCCAAGGGATCCAGGGAATCCGGGCTCAGAGGGCGCGTGAGTTTTGGCCCTCGGGCAGGGCAGGGCTGGGTAGCCCTGGCTGTGTCTGCGCTCAGCGTCCCTGTGCCACCATGTAAACGTACTCCAGTCTGGATGCTAGCGCCCCCCCGCTCTTCTGTTCCTCAGCAGGGCCTGCCAGTGCTACGAAGGGAGAATGCAAATTTGCTTCCCCCTGGGACCCGAGATGGGATTTGGAGCCATATCTTCCAAAGTGGAAGGTCAGCTGATCATCCCACTCAGCCCCTCTCCCAGCTAATGCCTGGCTTTCCTCCCAAGATAAGGTGTTCCTCGGCCCCCCTCGCCTCTTCCAGGAGCTCCAAGATTTGCAGAAGGACCTGGCCGTGGTGGAGCAGATAACACTACTCATCAGCACCCTCCATGGCACCTACCAGGTACGGGCCAGGCTGCTCCCTTCACACTCTGTGAGTGCCGCTCGCTGGGCGGTTGGGGATGGGATTCACTAACGAAATGGAGCAATTTCCCCTGCTGGTTTGTGACTGGGGCCTCGGCCGAGGCTGGGGGAAGCCAGGGCAGTCTGGTAACTGGAAATCGTCCCCACAGGGAAGGGTCCAAACGACAAAGGACGTAACCTCGGAACAGGATAGGAAATGGCGCGGAAAGAGGTTCTAAAGCGATTGTCTTTCCTCCCTATCCACGGCCCCACCTCCCCTGCTCACGCGCCTGCCCCAAACATTGCTATGCTTGCTCGTTAGCTGGGGGACAGGTAGCCCCTTGCTCTGGACGGCCGTTGGCTTCCCCAGACACCTGCAGACGTGCCCACCTCCCGATGGACTTGGCTCTCCAGCCTTGGAGGGGTGCCCGGGCTAGTCCTGGGTTGCTGGCTGGGCCTTTGGGAGCAATTGGATGGTGACTCGTAGACTCTGCATGGCCCCCTCTCCCATCCCCGGACCCTCCCCCGTCTCAGGGTTTCTTTTCCTCTCCCGCTCCAAGAATCTGAACATGACCGTGGCCCAGGATTGGTGCCTGGCCCTGCAGAGGATGATGAGAGTGAAGGAGGAGGAAATCCACTCGGCCAACAAGTGCCGCCTCCGTCTCCTGCTGCCGGGGAAACCGGACAAGTAAGTCTGCTCCCGGCTCCTGTGGGCGGGACGTTTCCCGCTGCAACCCTCTGAGCATGGAGAGTGGATCCGAGGGGGAAGACCTAGGGGCTTTGCGAGGCACTTTCTCAGTCCGGTACGGGTGTGCGTGCAGCCCGGGCGGGTAGGTCTCCAGTGATGGAAGTGTTCGCCAGCGGGTAAGAACAAGGTCTCCTCCATACCCGGGGCCTTGTGCACGTTTTGGCCAGAGCAGCCTGAGTCGTGTCCTGGCCGGGCTGGGACGTCCCAGAACAAACAACTGGCCCCATGCCGAAGGGTTTGCAGGGAGGTGTAACTCCCTGTGGGCCCCCAGGTACTGTGGGGGGGAAGGAGGAAGCACAGCTCCACACTGATTGGGCCCTGATTCTGAGCAGACACACAGAAGTTTCATGGAGGAGCCAAAGGGAAGGGTCCTGGGCGGGTGGAGATCGATGGGGTGGGGTGCTGTCCAGCTCTCCGGCAGCAGAGGATCTGGGCCAATGTGCTCCTGGTGCATCATGGCTCCTTTTTGCTCCCTCCCGGTGTGGGTGCTCCTCTAGCTAGAACAGAGACAAGGGCGGGAGGCGGTGACGACGGCAGGTCTGGGTCCTCTCCCTT